TCTGAATGGAAGTGTACTCGTTTAAAAAAAAACGAGGACGTGTATTATAAATCTATCCCAAGGATCTGATATGACACAGGGGAGATATAGGTGACTCAACAACGTTCGGGTTCCATTTCTGAGAATTATTCAGCATCGAAACTGCAGCTTAAAGGGCAGTTTTAAACCTCAGGTTCTGATTGAAGTTTCATTTACGGGTGTGTCTGGCAGGTTTGTGGGGTATGGAACTTTGGGGGAGTCAGGTTGGCGTAGTGGTTCTTTCTCGCCTTCCACCTCTGCGGTCCGGGTTCGATTCCCGGCTGTATCCACGTGTATCCTCGTGTACCCAGAATATTCTGGGGTTTTCCTCCCAACTCTAAAACTGTAACTGCTTCTCATTGTCTCCTCTCTACAGGTTTCTTCAGGCTTGCGAGCTACAGTGCCTAGGGTGCTTGTGAGGAATCCTCAAGGTCCTTACCAGAAATTAATGATAATAACAATAATAATGACTAACAAAGAGCGCAAAGATTTGAACACGCGTGTCTGCCAGTGCTCCGAGTTGGATTAGCTACTCCATTGTTCAACACCCAACATGATTTACGGTACACCTGCCATTTTCCGGATCCCGCTCGACTGATGACTCTCGGACGTGACAAACGGATAGTCGCTTTTGGTGTTATTGCTTATAATGTGGGCTATTAGGAGAAGTCGAGAAAAATAACCGGGAGAAATCGATTGGTGATAGAATGGGACTGCTTTGGAAATAACATAGTAAACGAAAGGGAAGATACAGTTAAACATGGCGAAAGCAAAGCGAGAGGCCAAACCCCAGACACCGAAGATGACCCTGCCTTGTGCTCTCTTTCAACCCCCCCCCCTTGGGTCCTATCAGACGCATGACCGTTTGTGTGTCTCTCCGAATCGAAGTCTACATAAAAAAGCGTGCACTCACGGGCGGCGGGGGAGGGTGAGCCAGCGATGGCCCCACCCATGTTGTCTGGCGAGCCAAGTTAATCCCGGTCCCTGAGGGACCACAGAGAGCGAGAAGCAAGCGGACAACACCCCGATATATGCCTCTCAAAAATCCGTTATCTTCGGCAGCATATTGCTTCACAAAATACCCAGGCTTGCACATGACAGCCTCCTTGCCCATCAGAGCCGAGCACGGAGTCGTGATTGGGGAGCTCGTAAGTTCGCAACTTCTATCAATAGTAAATCGTTAATTAAGATCAATTAATGCCGCCTCTCTCAAGACGTCACATCTGACCTATCCATATCAATAGCGGGGTTTTTTTTTTTAATATGGGGCGAAATATCACTCAGTCGCGCGGGCCGACTTGGGGAGGAGACGGGAGATGACCCCCCCTCTCTCTCTCTGTCTTAACTTTGGCCCTTCGATCATTCCGTCTTCACATGTTTACGACTTTACGAGGGATTAACTCTGCAAGAGGTCGGGAGGGAGTACCCCGTTTCAGCATCTGAGAGAATGACTGTGTTTGCGGCAGATAAGAGCAAACGTCTGGGAGCGGAACGTCAGCTCGAGTTAGCTCATCGGAGGGGCCAGTCATATCAACGGGTGAGAGGCCGGTGTGTGGAGGGCCGAATTCACCGAGTGGCTTGCGCACAGCGGAATTGGAATTATTCAATATCAACTAACCTACATAAGGACTTATGACATGAGAATTGTAACAAAATATAATCGATGTTTCTGCTGTGGGAGTTGTTCTTTCGTGCTGAAGATAGTCAGGCTGGAGCCATTGGCAATTCCTGACGGCATATATTAGGATCACGCTGCTTAGAATTGTATACACTTTGATTTGTCCTTTTTATGGCACAGCAGGAATTCCCTGATATAAATACTTCAAAATATCTTCCCTCAGATTGAAATGGATTCGTTCATTTCTTCATGATTCTTTCCCCATCAGCAAAAAAGTCAAAGGGATGAATTACTCGATGTAAAATGTGACTGCGTTATCCAATACGACAAATTGTCACGGTGTGATGACATTTATATGAATTTTTTACTGCCAGGAAGGGGAACTTCAGAGCATCTTGGTACATCAATCAATCAAAATTATTCAGACAGCGGTCTGAGACCGGTACGACAGAAGATTGAGCAGCGCGTCTGGCTCCCTATCCCAAGGGACCTGCTCTGCTTCGTCTGGGTCCCGTCTATCCCCCTACCAAGTTGAACGGTGGCCATGTAACATCATTACATTACACAGGACTGAGACATGTAGAGCCTCACGCAGAGTGGGAGGGGACCACTGCTCACATTTCCTGAAATTTCCACAAGCCACGTCAATATGTCCCCACCATTCAATATCAAAATTGCCTGAAAGTGCGTACTCTAATTCCCTCTCTTTCCCCTATTTTTCATCCATGTGATTTTATTTTATAAATGACAGATCACGGTGGCAGGATTTTATTCCTGTTAAAGTTTATCAGATACAGTAAATACGAGAAGCCATAACTGCATATTAAGGACTAGAATAAAGTTTGGCTTTCTTTTTAATATAGGCCTACCCAGCACAACGGACACAAGATCTTTGCAACTGTTGTCCAACCTTTGTCCAACATTGGCATATACTGCCTATACACTGAGACAGTTGGCAGTAGTTAACTTGAATCATTGTACAGCCAACAGAAGAAGCATGAGGCCAACATACTCTTTAAAACACTCTTTGAAAAAAACAGGCAGCAGCGAAGAATGCGAATCCAGAATATAAGCTCAATATAATTACCGGCAGTGAACGAAGGAAAGCCACTATTGGATTCTAGATCGTCCGATACGAAGAGAACTTGCTGTCAGAAACTCCAAAGTTCCTCTTAAACTTAGGGGAGGCGCTGTGTCGGTTATTGATCAAAATAAAAGGTAAACTTTATATGACCCAGATGAATATCGACAAGGGTTGTCGTGGTCATTGCGGGAAGAACACTGTCAATGTATGGCTGAGCTTCTAACCAACCACCAAGCCCTAATGACTCTCACTGAGATCGATCAGAAGCGATTCAAATGGCGAGAGTGGATGAATTTGTGAACAGGCCAGTTCAATCAAAAATAGCGAGGCAACCTCGTTCCCATGGGTACGATCTTACCGCGCCATGTTGGTTCCCACCATGTCTTGCGCAAGGACCACGCAGGCAGCCCACGGAGTCGAGGTTGGGAGCGAAGCGATCCGGCCAAGGGGCTGCTATGATGTAAATCATTTCACTTTGTAATCTCCCCCTTTCTTATTGGTCAGCATCTCTCTTCATCATGCATAGCCTAACTTGACCAAGTACGTTAAACTGAGAGCTGTCTGTCGGAATCGCACGTGAAATAGCGTGACTGGATTTTTGTCCGACGTATTCAAGCAGCAGGGAGGAACGCCATCCATTGCCAACCACCAGGCACTTATATGCATATGCATCGCGATGCGGCCGAGTGCAGTCAGCTGCACGGCGTGAGGATGAGTCGGCCTACAATGGCATGAGGCGTGGAACGGAAAGATTCCTAATCTGGGAAGATTGCTACTAAATGGGAAGGAAATCCAGCCTTCTTATCGAGGAGAAGTTCACTCCGTTGGACCGTTCAGCCCAGCATACAGAAGGCTAGTAGAAACACTATCAAATACCAAATACTCACAGTGGTGTTTCATTTTGGTTATTATAGTTTAAAACTATAAAAATGTATAGATTTGAATTTTACTTAAAAGCCGTAAAAGTCCATAGAAATTAGATATGTTTCGTACTGGTACTGATCCTGGAAACAGAGAGATGATTACAAGTCAAATGAAATGCATATCATTCACTTGACAATTGATTTTGCAACCTTCAAACTACTGGCTTTCGTTCTGCAGAAAATGAAAAGGGAAAAGTCGACTTGCAGGGCCCAAAGCCATGGGTATACCAGTCAGGGAAGTCAAATTACAGAATTATAAAAGTGGGAGTTAATACAAATCATCTCCACCCGATCAGTGGCGTAGCCAGCTTATGGATCTGGTGGGCAATTTGATTTTTTTTATTTTCGTCCACAAAGAATTGTCAACCCCTCCCGCCATAAAAAAGTGATGGTACCATTCTCAAGTGTTAGCATTTTCAATTCTGGAAAAAAAGGGTAACATATCTAAGAGAGGGGTCTTGTCCCCTGCCCTCCTTGGATGCGTCATTGCGCCCAAGTCCTTTGCACCACTCGTTCCATGTCACGTTTATTATATTCTTCTTCAAATTCTCATCAACAAAGATGGATGAACACGGGTCATATGGTTCCAGTATAAATGATGAATGGGCGTGTCACATGACCTGGACCGGTCATAGTCATGCAGCCAGCGTCGGTTTGTCATAATCGTGTCTGGTTTCAATTCCAAAACCAGTTGAAAAAGAGAACGGTCGCTGCCCTAGATATTAAACCGGAACTATGATTTAAGTCTTATGACAGAACAAGATTGTGAGCATCAGCAAAACCATTGGACCGAGTTGATTTATTTCCTAAGACAATTTGGATTTTTGGAAGTTAAAGAATTCCTGTCGAACAAAGTCAAGCCACATAAAAATCACCCTGTGCAGTGAAGAGCATGATTTTTTTATTTACGATAACTTTCACTTTTCGTTCTCTGAAAGACTTAAAGCGAGCGATAAAAATGTTATCAACAGGTCTGCGCCGTGACCTTGTTCGCGTTGGCCTCCCGGTTTCGCCTTACAGATGCTCTATTCGTGTTTATTCTCAAGTGTTAGCTGCCAAGGTCGCTCAGATCAAGCTTACGGATTGATCACGTACGCTTCTGTTGTGTGAGGGAACACACGACCCCGCACGAGCCACGCGTGCGTTCGTTTGCATAATTACAAACACAGGGATCTACGCCCGTCTTGAATCGTGGGTATCAGGCTGTCCCCAAAATCTGTCTGTTTTTCCATAACTCTCAGAGCTCTAGAATTTTCTCACCCCCACGTAGATTTGATTTTGTGAGGCTTGAACTAAAGTACAGCCAGAAGAAAAAAGTTGCTCCGACCCACAGGGCAAAGCATTCTGTACAACTTACCCCGTGCAACTTGTAGTAGAGCCCACAGGCATTGCAGACCGGGTCCCCGTTTGGGTTCCTCCGCCAGAGGGTGGTGGTCGTTGCCTGGCAATTGGCGCAGGATGTCCCGGCTCGTCTGGCTGCGGACTGCGAGGCAAATACAGGAAGGGTCACCAGGTCATACCGGTACTGTATTATTTATTAAATCTTAGCAGTAATGTATAAAAAATTTAGTCGCCCGCTTAGCGCTGAGCCGTACTGGGATTCTTTCAGGGTTAGGCATGTAAGCTTTCATGATATCCGGGGGAAGGAGTAGAACGTATAACCAGCAACCTTTGCTGCTTGCAAATACATGTTTGTCATTCAGTTTGTTTTGTGTTTGAAGGGTACATGTGCGTGTACTCCAATCACAGACCTTGTTCTAGGATGAAAACTATAAAAACGTTGGGTGAGTGTGGCACATAATGATCGAGTTATTGGTGCATTGGCCCACCAAAGAGCCACCACAAATGTTGAATTAGTGAGGGGAAAACACTAATACAGGTCGAGTGTGAGATTCTGGGCCGTAATTCAGGTTTGTGCATTTCAGCACATCATCGGAAAAGCTGATGGGGGAACAGGCGGTAGCATAACATTGATTTCCGGGTCTGTTTAGTGTAGGTGAGAAGAGCCGCTCAGGAGAACTATCAGACTACAGACTTCTTGTGGGGGTCATACGGCAGAGTCGAATTCTGGCCCGATTTCATTTGGGCGGTAATTGCTTGATTAGATATCCTCAGCAATGGAGGTGTGTCAATCAGTGCGGACCACGTAGTTGCTAGGCCCGTTGCTCCCTAAGCTTGTTAACATCCCTGTTAGACATGTACAGAAGGGGGGGGGGAGTGAGGGAATAATTAGTTGCATGCCCGTATTTACAGTGATGAAGACTGTGGGGATGTCAGGCGCGTCTTTGCAGGAACGGAGGCTGGCAAAACCTAGCAGACAAGTTCACGGCGGTCGAAAAAAATGGCAACTACCTAGAAGTTCAAGTCATAATACGGAACCACTTAGAAAAGAAAAGTACATACCGTAACGCCACTGAGAAAATCAGTGACATAACATTTGCCTGCAGTGTTAAAAAGAGTGACCAACAATAAAAACCCGTTTCAGGAGCATCCTTCGCCAGTTATAACAAATTTGTACAGCCCTTGAGGAATGACGGCTTGCTATATTAGCACTGCACTTATTCAGTAATTTTTGGACGCGCAACGGTTTAATAATAATGATAATGTCAGTGAAATACAATGAATTAGACATCTGTTACGATGTTAGCCGACGTAGACACCACAGGAAACGTCCTTATTGAAATGGCGGCTGAGGTTGTTACCAACAGGAAGAGAGAGCTTTCCCGCTAAAAAGTTTTCACCCGAGCGGCAGACGACACAGTTTCAACAATGACAAATCGGGGATTACTTCCCGCTTAAACGCTTTGCTTTGGCATCCATCGACGTATGTACAACTTGGTGCGAATGGTTCGTTTCACAGCCTGTCAAGCGGCAGCTAAACCAAGACTTGACTTGTGGCAATTTAATTTGTCATCAAATTAGGCAATATTGGCTCAACTGGAATCGCTAATGGCCCGAGTCACTGGTCGTAACGGGGGTACTGAATCACACACCGATGGCTGCATAGCAGTGCTAATGTGCACTATTTATAAACTGACGAAAGGCAGACACTTCAACAGGCAAACGTATACCATCGCAAACTTCGATGTTCATAAATAAATAATCGTTTATTTTGAATGGATGACGCTGTGTCCAATCAAAAGGAACAGCTGTATCTTAAGATGATTTCAAATAAATGCAGGATATTTACAAATTAAAGGAATGCCAAACAGCTCTATCCAATTTCAGGCAATCTCTGGCTTTGTTTAAATGTATGTAATGTAAAAAATTCATAGACGGTACGCCGCTCCTTAAAGGTATACTTGCTAGCTCTAATTAATAGTGACAGGAGGGGGCATCATTGGCAGGATCAGAGTTGGGTCACTTCTGTGTCAAGTTATACTGCTTCCTAGACAGGCAAGAAATTCTTTTGGGATTTGTAATACTCAGCGGAAAAGACCTCACTATTTCAAAAACAAGATTGAAAGATTGTGTTTTAGCAGATAACGACATCTAAAGTCTCGAGAACCTGTCAACTTATTTGTGCTTTTATATACACCACAGAGGCATAAATGGTGCTGACCCGTGGGCAATTTAATCCTATAAAATTTTGCTAGAGTGGGATTCTGCACGAGAGATGGGTGACAATCAAACGGAAAAGAGACTTTCAAAGGGTCGGGCATTCAAAGTAGCTGTCAACAACATGTAATTTTAGCACCTTAGTCCTCAGTTTATCCTAGAACTTTTAGCAGTGAAAGAGGGACATAAGTTCATTTACTTTTCAGAATTTAGTTTAAAGGGCAAAAGCACAACTTTGTAATTATCCTGGACAGAACCTTGGATCATTCAGAAATACAATAAGTTTCACACACTCTCCACGCACACAGTAATGAATGTAAAGAGTGGCCGCCGATTGACAACCGAGTGGCCTCCCTTACCAGTCGTCTCTTGGGCTTGATAAGTGGCCTGTTCTGTCCGTTCATCTTGTGGTACAGGCCGCACGCGTTGCACAGGTAGTGCCCATTGCCGTCCCGACGCCACAGGGGGGTGGAAGTGGCTCCACAGTTGACGCATTCTCGCCCCTCTGGAAAACAAACAGCCATAAAGGATCATTAATATGAGACCACACTCTGATCTTATGTTTTTGTACTGCATGGCAGCCCGGGCAAATAAAAAAGTAAAATATAATGAGTTCCATTTATCCTTTTGCCAGAGAATCAGTTAAGTTCAGTTAATGCATAGGCCCCTACACGGCGACACAGAATGGGCTCATGTTTTGTTGTAATACACTTTAAAGAGAAAAGAATGGCTGAAGTCCCAAGAGTCACAAGGATTTTCCGTTGCTTCCGTTCAGGCATTCTAATACTTTTGGCCCCATGAAATGAGAAGAATTTGAGCCTATCAAGAGGAAGATGAGCCAACTTCTTCCCATAGGATCCCCATAGACCCGATTCCCCGGCAACTCAGGCCAAGTTGTGGGTGCATGATGCAGTGCCAAGCTGAAATGTCTGTGCCTGGCCAGCAATCCATGCCCTCGCAAGTTTGATAAAAACAATACCGGGCTTTCGGAAATCCTGGATCACGAGTTCATCTGATGAAACAATAGGACAAGGGCGTCCAGCTGCGCTTGGCTTGCAGCCCCTTGTATTATTGCATTTGACAAGTTCGTACAGGCTCTGAACCTTTTACATTGAATGTGTCATGTAGGATATTGGTATTACATGTGCTGCAAGGAAATATCGGATGTACGAGACTCGCTGTAAACATGAAATGACAGTCTTGACAGAGGGAAAAAACCTTGGGATGCAGAAAATAGTTCGTGGCCACAAATCACAGGAATTTCGTCAGAATGGGAACTCTCTTGCCAGAATGAAGAGTTATGGATCCAAACTTTGTAATTTCTTTACCGAGGTCACAGTTTCTATTCCAGTTCCAAAGGGGGAGGGTACGTCAAATGGAAGTGAAAAAGGAGAGCCCTTATGCAAACGTGAATCTGTATGTGATGTCATGTATAGAGCTTTCAAGCTGCAGGGAATTTGTCAAAGTTTGATATATTTTTGATCCCATATATCGTGTCCAATAAAGGATCCACGATTAAAGCAAAGCATTTATGGATCAAATATTCCGCTAAGGGCCTGCGATGGCCATAATCCGACTCCAAACAAACAACCATGCCGACAGCTGTAACACTATGGTAACTCGTTGGATATCATTCGTCTCACCCCCCCCCCATAAAAAATCAGAAGGACCTCTCTGAACTGAACTCTTATGAACTGACCGTTTTAATCTGGCTTTGCAAATACATGGAACTGAAGTCTATGGTTGATAGAGCCTTTCCAATGTACACGCCTCGCTCGTCCATTAGGTAACGAATGATGACCCCATCGGGACTTCTAGGGAGTACCTGGGGGCAGGCACCGGGCTCATGTTGCAACGAACAAGGGTGCTTCATCTCCATTCCGAAGAACGTCAAACATGTTTTCCATCTCCAAGTCCAACCTGGAATGTTGGGTTTCTTTAACCCGGAATTTAATCGCCAGTACAATGGGTAGCATTTTCATACCCACATGGGTAAAGGTATGAAACCTATATTCCATTGATGCTCGCCTCGCAAATGCTGCCGTCAATGGAGACCTTCGCTGGTGACACTGCTAACTGTGTTGTTGCCATGGTAATGACAAGTTACAGCGTAGGACCCTTTTTTTCGAAGAGCCCAGATCTTCTTTTTTTCCATTTTTATATTTTTCCATTTTGCTATAAATCACCTACATTTTGTCGGTAATTGGGACAGTATTGTCATCAGCCGACCTATTGGCAGACACCGGGAAAGGTCCACCTCCGTTCTATTATCTGTGCTACTCCGAAGCCGATCCATAAGACGGCGCACCTGGTGCCCCCCCCCCAAGATTTTTTTTCTGAAGGGGAAGTGCAGTTCCTTTATCTCTTTTATTTTGTTCTCAGTTGTTTGTCATAACTTTGAAAGCAAAATTCAGCACAACTAGACGGGGTGTGTTTTAGTTTTAGGCGATTGAGCGATATTGATTGCTACTTTAAAATGATGACGTCACAGAATTTTGGCGCATATCATCAGAAAACTAGCTGATCTCGTTACTTGTGCAAAAACATCCCTGCATCCTTAAATTAAACAGCTATGTCATATCTTGAGAAAATTGATCATGTCGAAATAGTCCCTTCAATAACTTCCGGGATAACGACGTCATTATTTTGCAACTTCACAAAATAATTTTAGCACCTCCCAAGAGGCTTTTGTCCACTTTCACGGAAGCTTAAAAAACAAATCTCAAGTTAGTTGCGAATCAGTAACTGTCAGTGAAATATCATAGGAGGGCGCTCCTTTTTGTTATGACGTCAAAATTCCCAATGTATTGCTCAGCATACCACTCTTAACATTTTAGTAATTTGGTTGAGTCTAGGTATAATCCCACGTTCACGTGACTTTTCATTGCAATCAATACTATTCCCCACAGCAAGGTCTACCAGGTCTCTAAATATGCATGTGCTACCCAATTCAATTCAACTGTTAGTTGATACACTTCTTTTAATTTTGACCTTGCACTTTGATACCCGATGGCGTCACAGTGACTTCACTTCGTGAAAGATAGCGTATTTTAACATCAAGGTTTATCGACGTACGAGGTTTCATGATAATTTCTGAAACTGTCCTGATTAAAGGTCATTTGAACATTGAAAATGTGCCTGAATTTTGACCCTTCATTAACCCTGGTAGCAAAGGTTAGAAGACTTCGACATTCTCAAACAAAATAGACCTGTAACATAATGACGTCACAGTGATGGCAATCAGGTGGGACGCAATCCATTGAGTCCCCAGACAAATGCGCACATGTAAACAAAGCGTGACGTCATTATGTTTTAGGTCAGTTGTTACCCAACTCAAGATTGTTGTCTCAACGCAAGAAAAATGAACACTACATCTGTTTATGAAAGAAGGCAGTCTTTTTAAAATAGAATTACTTCAAATTTGATACCCACTGACGTACGGCCTCTATGTATACATCTTAGGTTCAGGGTTGATGTTCGTGTCAATGTCAAATTTATACGTTATACGGTGAATTATCGTCTTAAAGAAAGGAGGAAGATGGGCTACTACAAACGCAAAATAAAGCCCACTCGTATGTTTGAGTATACCTCCATCCCCCCACATGCTGGGCGCCACCCCCCCTTGGAAATGCTGTGTCCGTCACTGCAACAATGGCAGTGAGATGGCCACAGAAGACCATGAAGGTAATCAATGGGACTCAGTTATAGCATTAATGCCAAAGTGAAAATATTTTACCTCAGACTAGAGTGAGGTGTTAAACAATCATCAGCAAATAACCCCACAAACTCGAATGAGCAGGACCTTCGTTGTTTATCTTGGGAGGTTAAAGTCCAAGAAGTTGTGGGGAAAGGCTTTTTCTGGATCGGTTTTGGATTGGCTTGGTTTGGTCACTGGTTGAAGCTTGAGCGGCTGATTTAGGGCACAACCGGCCGCCAGCCCCCCCCCCCCGTGGTGAAACCTGACACCGAGACCCACGTGTCTGCACACGCGCGTGGGGAGCCAGTGGGAGGTCTTCGGCATCAACTTCCGGGACCACTTCGGCGGCGCCGAGTCCGCTGCGCTAGCGGCACATGTGCACACGGGACCGTGGCAAAAGAGTGTCAAAGGTCACGCTGCATCTTGTTCGGGGGCATAGAGGGGTGGTGTTAAATGAAATCCAAACGAAGGCATCTGGAATTTCGATTCGCCGATTGCAATACATATACAGCGCAGTTTCCTAGAAACAGGCCTCATAGACAAAGCAGGAAGAGCAGTGTAAAAACGTATGACAAAAGCCAAACGTAGCTGAACAAAGGCCTGTGACTATTTTCTCTTCAACCGGGTTTTAGGAATCGATATCGCAAGAATTTCAGCATTTAAAGGAATGGATAGTCATTTGCATGGCAACTCATGTCCCATTCCCCATGCAGTCGTTTATAACTGAATTCCTCAGGATCTGTTTTGAAGTCTACCAAGGGTGCGTTATTTGAAATTGCATCAAGTGTTGAAGGACAAGACAGGAAAATACTGAAAACAACACTATATGAGCAAACAACTTCCTAAAGGTTTATATTACACTTACCAAATCAACCCAATAGAGCAGGTATATAAAGTATGGAGCTTTTCTAAAACTTCATACAATAAATCATGCATTAACTATCAGTTGAGTGAAATACATGATTTCTAAAATTCCCACTTCCTTGTATCGGTTAAAAAAAAACATGGTGTACGGTTTGTTTAACCCTTCCGGTTTAAACAACACGTGGGGAAACGATCACGAGGCAGGGGAGGAATCGAGGATTTCCCCTCGGCTAGTAGGCCTGTACAGAGGGTCACAGCTGGCCCGCGTTCGCCGTTTCGGACAAGAACCAACCCGTAAAGCCGCGACCCAGATAAAAACTCACGGGTGTTAGGTCGAAATCAGAATCAGTCTAGACGAATATGGGGTTCTGTCCACTGCATCCCCAGCAGCAACGACCAAAAGTTGGAAACTGACGAGCGAAACGTGCAAAGTGGCTTATAGAGCAACCCTGCATACCCATACTGACCGACAACCTTCAACCATGGCACTCTCGAGGCTACTGCTGATGATAAATCTTACCAACCCCCCCCCCCTTTCATTTTTTGAGAATTAGATATCATCAGAGATATCGGAAGTTTGTGAGAAAAATCATAAATCAGCAAATCCCGAAGTTGGTGTTTTACATAGTGTAGAATCAGGTCATATGAAGAGAAAATATATACGCGCCAGTGATCGACTGATTCATTTATTTTTATAAGGGAAAAGGCTTTACTATCAATGTGACCTCGACCGCAGTGTTTGCAACGTTACAGTCTACATCGTGCCGCTTTTAAAAGTGGGTTTGAACTATGACCTTAAAGCAAATTCGCACTATAACAGGAAGAACTTGTTCGTATCGTTGCAGTCACGTATGGCCCTTGTAGAGCGCATGTTTACAGCAACCGTTGTTTCACTGGGAAAGAATCCAAACAATAAACCCAAACCGATCCTAGACACTGCCACGTGGGTGATTCTACTGAGTGACTTCAAGCGCTTCAACTGCACGTGTTGGCAACAGAATGCGATGAAATGTTTATTTGAATTGGCGCCAATATCGTTTGTACCCGCAAGGGTACAGTTCAAAAGAGATGGTTCTGAGATATAAACGTGCAGCATGCAGAATGTTGCTGTCCAAAATGAAACCTAGGCCTACAAGGTATAATCAGGAAAACTGTACGAGTTAAGACATCTCAGGGGAATGATCACTAATTAAAACTTAGATGTGGTTGCATCATGAATAGAAAGAAGACTTTTGGAATACACAACTGTATTGTAATGATGTAAAGCGAACCAGGATAAAATAAATATTATTACACAGTGAAAATAAAGTCGTTCGTCCCCGTTGCTTGAAAGAAAATCGAGGTATTTTGCATATTTACACACAATACAATGTTTGAACAATTTCATGGGTGGATCCAGGCGGCCAACAGGTGCGACCCCCCCCCCATAAAAGGAGCCAATTTTTGAAAAATAATTGAAGGTGAACTTTCGTGCTATTTTTATATTTTGTGTCTTGAAAAAAAGTGTAAAAGCCTGTAGCCCCATGGCCCAGAAAAGCTATAAATGGTGACATAAAAAATCCAAATTTCTAGCCCTCAAAATAAGTTTGCCCCAAGGCCTGGTTCTGGATCCGCCCCTTGCGTTTTGACGAATCTGTCTGAAACGCGCTTCTTAAAGACAGGTATGAAGCTGATTTTCATGATAAAAATCTTCAGATATAGGTTTACTGATACGAAGACAGAATACAGACCCACTGTGCTGGAATTTAACCAGTGGTGGCCTATAGTAAACATTCCCAATGAAACTGAAAGGTTATTTCTGACATGTCCCGTTTTTGATACAATGTTAAGACGAGTGCTCCTTTAAAAGGAAAGAGGAAGGTCAGCAAATTTTTATTGGCACGTGCACATGAGGTTGTCGTTTAAACAATGGAGTCTGATATCGACTGAGAATATGATTATTTTCTCATGTTGAACTGTCCTTGGTGTCATCTGTGCACAACCATCTGAACAAAAGGTCAAAATTAAGGATTCTTGCGGTTCAGGAATGAAATGGTGTTTTTCTTGGGGAGGTGTTTTGGACTGTTGTGGATACTGTCGTTGGGAAGGCAAAAAGTTGAATGTGTGAAATCAAAAGGAAATTAGTTTCACTTCAAATGCACCGGCTGGTCGAATAATATTATTGTGTTCACTTACCAGAACTGGATCTGCTTTTCGTGCGTGGTCGGGGGGCAGAACCACTGAAGCCCCTGTTACCCATCACGGTCCCGGTGTGGAACCCAAGGGAGTTGGTCAGGTCAGGTGCCGGGACGTACGTCGTGTAGGCTGGCATGTGATGTTGGGTGCTGTAAGGGGTGTCCGCAGCAGTTGAACTGGTAGCCATCGACATGGCGCCGGACGTGGATGCCGAGGAGATGGGGGAGGTCAGATGGTGATCTCGATGCATGGACTTATCCTCCATGTGTGAGTAGTCACCTGATGAGGGGTGGATGCTGAGCCCCGCCGTGGTCAGGTGGTCTGGGGTGCTGTCTTTGGGCGGTGTCGGCGGGAAGTTGAACAGGTGGGGGCTGGACTGCGAATTGATGCTGCTGCCACCACCTCCGGAGGAGCCGAGAGCCGGTGGCCCACCGTGGGATGACACCGCTGCAGAAGCCCCGCCGAAGGGGCTAGTACACCACGCCGAGTGGTTGCTAGATTGGTGCACGGGCCGCAGCGTTTTGCTGCTCTCGAACCACTGAATAGTCGGCGTGTGGAAATGTGGCCTACAAACTTGGCTGCCAGTCACACGAGCTGTAGGAAAGTTACGGAAAGTTTGGAGACTACATAAGTTAAGTCTTTGAGTGCCAAGAATCTACACAGACGCCGTGCACGTGAAAGACCTCTTATAAAGCCTGGAGCCAGCTTCAGTGCATGTACACGTACAACCTGCACTCCACAACAAGTGAACAGTTGCAGTTCCTGGTGCGTGTGTGGACCCAATTTAGAACGAGTCGACCGGTCACGGGTACACAGTGGACGTGCTAGTGAGTGAGACCCCGGTTGGCAGTGGGATCTATTTATAATAATCTGTGGTCTCGATTGGCAGAGAGAGCGTAGGATACGGTACGCGCGTGGACCTTTTCTATACAGTGAAATACGGAGTGAGAGAAAACGTCAAAGCAACCCCGGCATACAGGAAAAGATTTTCAGTTTAGTGGTCCAACTTAATTTGACGTGCCGAGCGCGTGCGCCGAGCGTGTGTGTGTGTTGTGTGTGCTATGGGTCCCCTGCTGGTGTGCCAATATCCTGAGAAGAACCACTGCGAGACCAGAACCAGGCTAACTCCCCTGGGGGGAATGTGTTTGTTGGGCACGCCAAAAAAGGGACAGAAGAGGAAAAAAAGAAGGGTGGAAATATTTTGTGTCTTGTATGATGCATAGGCCAGCTGGTCTCTCGTCCGGTAGTAGCCCATTTTCAAGGTGTTCGGGCGTCATATCGCCCATGATCTGATATTATGGGCCAAGACTTTTTTCCAGGTGGGATAATTGACCAATTACCGAAGAGGAACCGACCAGAAATGAACGGGCTTGGGACTTGGTAAAGTGTTGATATGCTCAGCCAAGCCAGAGCTTGATTTCACGGGGAAGCTGTGGGAGCAAAGAGCCACCATACTGCAAGCCTAGACTGCCTGCACATTCTCGTCATGCATGATTCTCAACAGAGTATCTTGTCAACCTTTTCTGATATTAACAAAATTCTTCCTTTAAAAAATAGTCTTGCAAAATTGTCCATCAGGCTGTTTGTCAACTTCAACATCACATCCTATATTAGAGCTCCTTTTTTAAAGGGAATTCTTGTTTGATTTTGTACAAAACTACCCGATGGAAATAGGTCAACCGATTACAATTTCCAGCTTAATTTTTTTATCAAGAAAACCTACGAGAAACCCTGGACTGTGAACCAAGTAAGGAAGGTTCTTGAAAACCCCCTTTGTGAACAGAAAATTAAAAGACGAGTAGGCCTAAGTACTTTTTTCATCGGACTTCCATGTTCAAATTTGCAAATAATCAAGGAACAAAAAGGGCATTATGCTTATAAAAGAATCCTTTGGTGAAAAGTCCCCCGCGCAGGCGTAAAAAAAGTATCATGACATAAATTCAGCACGCAAGCATTCTGAAGGCAACCGCATGGGGTCACAAACCCGAACCGGGAAGAGTTACACTGAGGACGAGGCACGTGCCAAGAAGATAAACAGGATACGACAGCTTCGGGGGGTTAATCGGGGAAGGGAACTCCAAGTGTACGGAAGACACCGACAAGGAAAACAATTCACGGAAATGGGGCTTTTGTACAAGGAAGTTTGGATTCGGCGGGAGATTGAACAAGTCCGACATGGTGGGTGCGAAGAGACGTCGTGAGAGAGGGGAAATGAAGCAACTGAAAGCTTACATCCCAAGGAGAAAATACGATAATTTTTGTATACATTATGTAAATCAAAAGAATACAACAAACAGAAACGTGGGAGGGAAAATATTACAGTAGCCTATAGTTTTAATCACAAGCCGGGACACAGGCAACAAAGAGAACAAATGTCAGTGCCACAGCTCGTTCGTGACTGCACTCAAAATTTAAATGACATAGCGGTCTCTTGTTAGGCCTTGTGTTGCACTGGACTTCTTAGAGAAATGTCTTTATGAATTGTGCAAGAATTGAATATTAGTGTCTGGAATACATGTACATTGAAATAACTGATGGGCTTTGTTCCATGTCAAATTAAATAATGTGCATGGCTTGCGCATATCAAAAGAGGGCGTTCTAACCTATGACCTTCTCGGGAATGGGGACTGACCTGTAACACTGAGTTTGCATTTTTCACAGTCTACGTTTACAAAGCAAGATCAGTTTATTATAAGCCTATAATCATTATCTCCATTTTTTTTTGAAATGTGTTTTTGTTGTTGTTTTTTAATGACTCCTTAGTGTCTGATGTGCCATTTCCACATCCACAACGACATGCCTTTAGGAAATTATACATTATTGCTTCTGGAAAGTTACAGATTCTGTCACAAGAATGCTGGTCGATTCGTAGGCGAGCCAACTCGTACGCCAAATCAACTCGTTTTCATTGGCCAGCTCATTACCAACCTGGTTATCAAACCTCATTACTGGACGGAGGCCGCTTCTGCAGCGTGCGCAAAACACGTTATTAAATAAAATACCAGGAATAATTGCAAAATGAATTAATGTCTAAGAGGATTCCGACGTAATCAAGGATGGAGACATTTGGATGTTTAGAAGAAGTTAAACTTAAAGCAAACAACAACAAAACAAACAAGCAAAAAAGACTGAATATCTCTCATCTTGATGCATGATTATGTAGATAAGTAACAGCACTTTCTAGCCCTTACCATGTGAAGGTCTATAGCTATGCATCGCGGCTGCCCGAGTAGCGGCCGAATTGGCATAGTAGCTGGGCGGGTTGACTGCGTTGGAGCTCCCGTCAAGCGCGTGGAAGAACACGTCCACGTCGTCTGGCGGCACGAGCTGCGGTGGCTCCATGAAGTTGAGACTGTGGTGGGGGGCATGGGGCATCCTATCCGATGTCGCCGAGGGGGTCATGGCGGTCGGGTGGGGCCCGTGAGGGTGTGAGCCGCCATGGGTGTCTCCGTGTTGACCGTTGACCACCATCCAACGGGTGTGCTCAGTGAGTTCCATCGCCTGTACACCACCGCCTCCCGACGATAACAACCAGTGTGGTCAAGTTCCCGCCAAACTTGTGCCTTGACTCTTTCTGCCACAGTTCTTCGATTCAAGAAGGTCCTGATGGAGATAAGTTGTACAAAATCTGTCAGCTGTTTGAGTTGACTCCCCGCGCATAAACCCAAAATATATGCAGTTAGGGTTAAATATGAGATGTCTCAATCTGTTCAGATGTTTTAAATACGAAGGGGTAAAGTGCCGCCCCTCAACAATAAGAGATGTGTATCGCAACATCGACTGCAGTGTACATACCGTAGGCTTATGATGTCATCGCAGACAGATCGGCGATGGTATACAGATGAGGTGCACTGAGAACTGCAAATAAAATCCGAAACTGTTATCAAACGATTTATATAGAACAATATTGTCCGGATCGCATGTGCATTATCCGCTCTCCCCTTCTGGTGCTTGGCCGATACATCAGCGATATGGAGAAATCATGCCACCCGCATCGGCTTTTTTATCAAAAATGCCGATGGACTGTTCAGAATATTTATATGAAATAAATAACAACTCCGTTCAGAGATGTCATCTCGTCTTTTTTTATCTGTTCAATTAATCTCGCAACTATCGAAGTGGGTATTAAGAAACCGGTGCCTTTTAGATGCGCGACTAGCGCAGATGAAGGGTTGGAGGCGAGCAGACAGGGGTAGCAAAATTGTGCACTTCTCGTTAAATTATGTCTTTTTTCCATTCTTTTTTGTTGAAGGATTCAAATTGAAGCGAAGTTTATAAATGCCTCTCCACAGGCGTCCATAGTTACGAGGAGGGTTAAGTCGAGTAGTTCGCGTGGCGGGTAAAGCCAAAAAATGCTCCGAGTGTGGTTGAGATAAGATCGTGTCAACATGGCTCTCAAGTGCCGGATTCGGGCTTTGGGG